AACTTTCGCTATTTATCTTTCTCTCTCAACCGTAAGCAGAGCATCAGCCAGAAACTGACGTAAAACAAATTCAAAAATCAAGTGTCTAATCAATAATGCCTCGTCATTCACGAACGATTCTTTCCACTAGGTAACAAGGTGAGTGGATGCTTTGCCGCGCTCAGCGAGTGGTTTTAATGAAGTACTGGTCACGAATATGGCCTCTCAAGGGTCACACTAAACTAAAAATTTCATTCCTTAGCTCTGATAGTCGTTTCTTAAAAAGTACTGAGCATTTATGTAAACTCTAACATCTTTGAGAGCGGTAAGAACCATTACTGGTCACTGAGAGTTTTACACAGCTTGGTCCGATACGCTTCTGTCCATACTGTAACGTTTGCAAATAGGCTTTCTAACAGAAGCTATAGAGTAATCGCAGCCTCTTTTTATCTTATGAAGCTTCCCCCAGAGATAGAACAATAAGCCCTAAAATTAGCACTGGTATGAAGGTTTGTCTTAAAAACTGGTTTCCTAAATTGAATTTTTTTAAAGAAAGCTTACTATGACTTTTTTTCATTAATTCTCATTCTACAAGGCAAATATAACAAATGTACATGTTGATTTGTACTAACCCCCAAGTAGCATCGAAGTACTATAGAATTTCTTACAGTAGTGCACCATTCCTGTTTTCCTCTTTACAAATCTAGCCCTTTTCAGAACGCTATGCTTTTTTTAAACGTATTCCTAGACTGTTTACAAAACTCGTTTACCATAGTACCCATTGCGAATATGTCAACTGACTTACGTATGATAGTTCGTAGATCGTCCCCAGGGACGTATTCAAGAAGAATCTGTAGTTGGTTTAATTCTAACTCATAATTGGATCCAAAACACTTCACGATGTTTGGATGTCGTAAAGGTGTTAAAGCGTTTTGCAATGCGACCTAAAATATGGGATATTGGCTGTTCCAAGAGATAAAACTGGTTAAACCTACCTCATTTCGAAATTTCTGTTTCGAATCCTCTCGACGATGTTCAAGATCAATAACTTTTAATGCTATTACATCATCAGGAATGTACTTTCGACTGAAGGGATTGCGTACAAGGTGAACTTCGCCATAAGCTCCTGGAAAGGCTAAATTTATCTTATTTCCCAAATCAGGCAAATCTCACCGACCAGTCTGCAAGCAATCGTGATCAGCTAGCAAACTTTAACAAATCAGCATAAAGCCGAGATGAAATTTTTTCTGAGGCACGCGCGAGGGAAATGCCATTTTGCTGATGCTACTGCAATCGGACTTCCCATCTTATTTGAAGGTTTATCAGCTGATAATGACTAATACAGTAAACTACTATTCTGATCTCACACCCTCTTAGTATTCTGACTGTTTGCGTTGAACACAGGCACGCAAGATGTCTGTAAGTAGTGAAACAGCCTTTATTATATTAACTCTCTCTTAAATGTCCCCCATTTCCTTATATTTGACCTTCTCAGCAAACAGCGTTTATGATGGCAACTGTTCTCTTCAAAAAAAACCCCATCAGTCATTTAACAATTCTCTGCAGTCATTTCAGACGTTGTATATGAAAGCCACGCCATAAATCAATTGATACCTTAAGATGCTAACCGACATAGTATAGGCGTTTATGGTCTACACCTGAGATATTTATTTTTGAAATATTTCTCGCAGACTGTTAAGTTTTTATATAGCATTCTGATCAGTAAGTAATTGCTGCGATCTAGCCGTTTGTCATATCATTGCGGAAACCACACCATAATTTCTCGCCGCAGAAAAAAAGCCTATCAAAACCTTGCTGGATAAAGTCATATGCACTTCCTCCCATAACATTCGGAATCTAACATATGCACTTCTTCCCATAACATCCAGAATCTGAAATAAAGTTTCGCTAAAGATCTATGACGGCTCATCCGGCAGGTTGATTAAACCCCATTTAAGTCATTATATATTGATTAGGTCTTATCAAGCGCATAGTGATCACACACCATAAAATAACCCAGTATTACTTGGTGCAGGATATGGTGGGCTGGGCCTTATCCCTAGACTCATTTTTCTAGTACATACTAACCAGTTA